ATCCTGTGCCAGTGATGCATATTTGTATTATTGGCACTTATGCACCAGGTTTCGTTTACTACAAAAACGATCCTTTATCACTTATTAAGAATTAATAGTATAAAAGCGCTTTTGGGAATCTACAATAACAATTACTTAAACTTGGCAGTATTGCTCAAGGTTTGCACAAAAAAATGTGCAATGCAGGGGAGGGGGGGAAGTGGTATTTTAAAATGAACTTGCCTGGACAATGAGCTACTCTAGGTTGCAGTGAGGTGCTGCATGGTTTCTAAACATTTAAATGTATATGCCTTTCATCCAAGGATGCTGAAGGGCTGGGTTAAGTGTTATTTTTTTTTTTAGCTCTGTGGAATAACAGTCAGTGCTAAATGAATTATAAAAGGCTTACTTAAAAGCTGGCATGTGTTTACTAACATGTATTCAACCAGATAAAGCATGAGGCCTCCAAGCTTTTGGCTGCATGGCTTCAGTGCACTCCTGAAGGCTAAACCAAGCATGGTGATTCTAATGTTGGGAATTTGAAGCACCAGTGCTGGGTTTCGACATCTGCATTACTTGAGTCTTAAGCAACACAGCTTTTGGGGAGGATGAATCTCTATCCTCTCCTAATGGCTTTTAATACTTTTGCACAGCTATCAAGAGGAAAAATGAAGCTGTTACTCTTTGGGTGAGAGGTTAAAGATCAGCTGGTATGTGCTAATTACATGGCAGGTAGGTGACCTAGGGAAATGATGCATCAATTCTGGTCTAACCCAGTTTGTTCGAACATTCACGGTCATTTAACTGATCATCATTTAAGTTCATACACAAGTTTAAGTTAATTCTGCACATTTACATAGAAAATACTAAAACTTTATAGACTTTCCTCCTGGGGCTGGTGTACAAGATGAAATCAATTGCAACAGTAACTCGGTCAAAACACTACATTTTATATGAAGTCCTGAATGAGGATTTAAAGCTTTCTCTCGGTGGTATGAAGTAACTGGGTGTTTAAGTCAAATATAAATGATTAAAAGAAACAGCAATTATTTTGTCCGTGGCTGTTTGTGTAGTGCACTCCGAAAACAACGTGCTTATTTTTTTTTTTCCAAGTGTAAAAATGAATAATTACTTATCTTGATAAAAGTGACAAAGTTTAGAGATGGGCTACCCTTTTCTCCTGAAAGTCTAACCTCCGTGATGCTACACAAGGGCACAAGCAGCTCATTTTTCACTCGCTGTACACACGACCAAATAGTCAATGCCCCAGAACAGAAAGAACGTAAGGAGCAATCTTAAAACACTTGGCAGTACAGATTCAAAATAAAAGGCAGTGTCCAACCGTTCAGATGCATGATAAAAATTAGAAGCTTCTGAGCATGTTTATACTTGACAACGGTACTAAATTACTGTTTGGTTTCGAAATATTTTTCACCATAAAATCTCCTCCTCTTCCTTTCTTTATGGAGATTTTATCAGTCAAGCAATGCAAAATGCCTTTTCCATTTTTTTTAGTAGTAGTAATAATACAGAATTATTGCAACGAAAGCAATTTGTTGTGGTATGGTAAGAATTGGATTGCAAGATGCTATAGTGACAAGGGCCTCTAGCTTGCAGAAGGCAGCATTCAACTCGGTCACGGACTCTCGCTGTCTTCTGAAGGCTGCTGGTACTATCCATCAGAAGAGGCCTTATTCCTTATCTTGGAGACCTCCCCCCACCTCCCACCCTTGGTGCTCTTTACTGCCAAGCCTTTCTGGTGTTTAGTTTGCTCACTGTGCTGACAGTGAGGAAAAGCACAGAAGTCTAGAAATGTTCGTCTCCACAGCACAAAATTTGTCAGGGCACAGAAATGCAACAGGCAATATTTGAACAACAAGTGAAGGACGAGTAGCAAAAGGCAGCACAGGTGTTAGAGATCCAGGATGGGACAAGACAATAAGGAAAGACAGCAGAAAGAGGATTCGTACAACGGGAAAGTAGACTAGATGAAGTTGCCCTGACTCATTTGGTCTCTTACCTCTTGGTCAAACAGATATCTGATGGTCCTTTTCTCAGGGCATGATGTCTTCTAAAATTAAATTTCCTTCAAATGCACTGAGAAACAACTGGTCAAAAGGGAGGTGTCCCCTTGGTGCGCGTGGTTCAACAAACAAAGAAATCTTTGAAAGCCCTTCTGAAAACCTAATGGTAATTACTCTCCTTTTAAGAAAACGATTCACTGTTTGTATAAAGACTCAGGAAAGTCGATATAAAATGTGAAAATTGCAGTTCCTTTAAACTTTGACACAGACAGTTTTATTTTTTTTTTAAGTCCTTGCAGCTTCTTAGTGGCAGAAATCTCCCTTCTTTTTCTTGTCATATTTTTTTTTTTTTTTTTAATCCAGTAAAATATTGGCTTTCAAATGAGAAAATGTTATCTAATATGCTGTTTTAGATTTCTAGGTCTTCCCAATAGGATTTTATCCTTTTCCATTCAATTATTTGATTTCTATATATTTGGAATTAGCAGGAAATAGCATGTAGATATGAAGGCAAAGCTATTCTGGCAAGGACAGGAATAAACGGAATATGTTGTGATTCTGTTCAGAGAAGATTTCAGAGGAGCTATAAAAGTAGAAAAAATCTGGTCCGAATATGTAGCTGTGCACCACTGCTTCCTTGCACTGTTTCCGCAGATCTAACTGCACGGGGAGGAAGATGTCTGCTCCTACCACTAGGTCGGGGTGGGCAAAATGCAGCCCACAGGCCAGATGCGGCCCACCAGGCCATTCTACCCAGACTGCGGGGCCCCTAAAAAATTTAGAAAATTAATATTTATCTGCGCCTGGCTCCCTATCATTTGGCCCTCGATGGCTTGCCAAAAGTCAGTGAGTGGCCCTCCGCCTGAAATAATTGCCTGCCCATGCACTAGGTGTTATACAAAAGGCACCTTTGCTGCAAAGCCAGGGGAAGACCAAAGGAACGTAAGTGGAAAGTGTGAACGTTAGAATTAATATTTTAAAGAAATAGATATTTTTCTGGGAGGATATTTTGGGGAAATTTTCAAAGGTTAAGTTTTCCATCTCTTGTTTCCATCCAGTAGCTTCAAATTGCGGGCTGCGTTCTCTTCTTGTACTTACCAGAGAGCGAGAGGTGTTTAGCTGTTAGCCTTAAGGCAGGCAGAAAGGGCAGCGTGGCCAACTGGTTTAGAGAGGCCTGCACTTTACTTGGGAGCAGCCTGCTTTGTCGGATGCCAGTTAGTTTCCAAGGTGCCACCTTGCCCCATCTTCTGCCAGAGAGTGAATAAAACCCTCCAGTCTTTGGATACACATCTGCCTGCACAACTGTTCTGAATGAGCCTTCATGATCGCTGTTTCTCTACTTAATCTCTCTCCACAAGGGTGGATCCTGTAGACACCCAACATGTAGATTATTCCCCCAATTTTTTTTAACTGAAGTATGGTATAGTGATGCAGCAGCACATTATATCTGATCATTTGTATTTACATATATCACATTTTTAACACATTTTATATAATTATTTCAAACTTACATATCCATGGCAGGGCTAACTTTTTTTTTTCCCCCCATTTACATTCATGAACTGAATTCACCTGGAATTTTTTTTTTATGAAAGCCCAACATACATCGTAATTATCATAAAAAGATCCATACATACTTTACTTAAAAATATCTTTTGTAAGAGGAAAGTTACCAAAAATAACACCAAATATACTATTATGCATACATTTTTGTAAAATACAAACAAAAAGTGATTTATTTGGGGTATTGCCTAGTCTAATATGGCTATCTTTAAAACAGAAAAAGAAAGGAGGGGAAGGAGTAACACAAGAAAATCAGGCCGATTTTAAAGAAACCCATTTCATTCTTTCCAGAGATGCAAATATGACGGAAAGAACACTTGTAAAATTAACTGAGTATCAACAGGTACAAATAAACACTACCTAAATATCACACGTCTTCTCTGAAGCATATGCTGTAATGACCTTGTAACTCTTTAAAAAGAAAATGCAAGTGGCAGAAAAAGCTGTCAAGCAAAACATTGAAAAATTAGTACCATTTACTAACCAGTAAGTGCAGAACTGAGAGGCTAAATATTTTTATGATTTGTTTCACATGCGCTCTCTCTCTCTTTCTTTTCCTTTTGCTCACAGGACTGATTGTTGCAACTCTGGCAATATGTTGGATGCCAAACCAGATTCGGAGGATCATGGCTGCTTCTAAGCCCAAGCAAGACTGGACGATAACCTACTTCAGAGCGTACATCACCCTTCTCCCCATTGCTGACGCTTTCTTTTACTTCAGTTCGGTAGTCAACCCGCTCCTGTATAACATCTCTTCTCAGCAGTTCCGGGATGTGTTTCTGCAGGTCCTCCGCTGTCATCTGACGGTAGAGCATGCCAACAAACAAAAGCTCCTGAGAGCCCATTTCAGCTCCAGAGCCAGCAGCGCCCGCTCTATGCGTCCATTGATCTTCATCTCATCAAAACGCAATTCTTCGACAAGGACCAATAAGAAGGTTTTCTTAAGTACTTTTCAGAATGAGACCAAGCCTGACTGCAGTCCACAAAAATTGAGTGTTGAATCACTGGAGCCCAACTTGGATGAAACGCCACTGGAGACTAATGTAGAGCCCAGTCCGGTGGCACAGAATGGCCTTCACGAACATGAGATGTGATTCCACGCAAGGCAAAGTTCGTTGAGCGCTGACCTAAAACAACTGTTGATCTAGAAACAGAAGAATTGCCTATATTTTAAGTAGTATTTCTGGTAGACTTGTTTCCAACTACACAAATGAAGCAAGTGTCGTGCGTGCTGTTAGGATTTTTTTTTGTTGTTTTTGTGGTTTTTTTTTAAAGTGCACAAGAGATTCGATCTGGTACTTGAATTCATTAGTTGCTGACCAAACAAGAAAACAAACAAAAAAAACCCCCTCTTGGACCAAACTGCTCTTTAGTGATTTGGAAGCAAAAAGCAAAAGAGCAGCGTCCTTTGAAGAAAGGGAGACACAGAACAAACAATGCCAGGACAATAAAGCATCCTCAAAGTTTAGCAATACAATGATAAAAGAGCCAATTTAAGGAACAAAATAGTAGTTATCATGCCTGCCCTAGGCACTGTGCCGGAATTTCCTCTCTTCTTTGGTCGAGGGCCGTTGCAGAGTGGTGTGTTGCAGCAACTGATACAAACGGAGTCCACTTTCCCCGGGGAACAGAAAGACTGGTATCCAGCGGAGGCTATGAGACAAGCTGCAGAAGACGCACAGGATTTGCGATACAGGATTCCTACAAGACAGAACATGACTTAATTAGCTTGATAATATGGTGAACATTAGCCCACCTGTTTGAAGATCCTTACATGTTTATGTTGAAATGTTCAGATTGATACAAGTAGTATAAATCCATCATAACTAAAGAGGGGTGGTACTTCGGCCCCTGTTTTGCTAGGAAATGACAGCCATTGTTTAGGTTTGTAATTTGTTAAAAAGAACCCGATTAGAAATTGTAAAATAAACAGAATACGTTTTTAAACACGGGTCTTTTAAAACCAGACACTGCAATCCATTGGCAGAACCTGTAAAGATGTACAACTCGGAGACCAGCAATTTCCAAAACGTTCGTTTACTTGATTTACAAGTAAACCTACCGGAAAAACTCATCACAAACTGCTTTTTAATGGATGGAAGCCGAGCACGTTCTGATGTACGTGGAAGGTATTTTCAAGTGTTTTACAAGGTTATAAAATAAACCATTGTGCCCCCTCCTCCATGTTAGCTGCTTGTGGTAGTTCTGTCGTTTATTCCTTGTGGTTCTCTTTGGCATGTACTACCCTTAGATTTACCATAAGGACTGAGGACCTGGTGGAAGTGTGGAAATTCCTTAGGCGACTAACACACTTCCAAGGTTGTGGAAACCACCTTGCCTCTGAGACCAGGTGTTACCCAAGGGTGTGTGAGAACAGGATTCCCCTGATGTGTTGTTTTGTACTCCAACACCCAGCCCCACCAGGCATTTCATCTCTAGTACACGTGGGACAGGACTTTTGAGAGAGGCCAAGGAAGAAGTGGGAGTATGGGGCATGAGTTCAACTATGGTTTGTACAGCTGTTGGCCAAATCCCTTGGGAACTGGAGTAACAAGGCAACCACAGAGTCTAACAGAGGCTTCTGCCAGTCTTAACTGGCACAGAACAACTGCCTTGCCCCCTTCCCGTGCATCTCTGTAGTGCAAGTCTACTTCAGTTTTGCCCTGGGGAAAGGACTCCCAGTCCCAAGCAGGAAGAGATGAACAGGTTGGTCTTATGTTAATCGATCCCTATGTGTTGCACTGAAGCTTGGTGCAGTGTTACCGTTTTTACTGGAATCCAAGACTTACCTGAATCCCCAGTAACTAAATTCTAAACACGCCTGGAATCTAATTTTTGGAGGGTTGTATTAAATTAATCGCTGTCGTCCCGTCCCACCCCCCGCCGCATCATGGCAATCAGCAGTGGGGGTAGGTAAGGAAGGGCAAATGGTCTGACCTCTTCCCTTTGCTGCTTGCTTCCCCTGTCCATTGCCTGCATGCTCCACACCTGCCCTCCCACTTGTACCCCTCTTGTCTGCCCCCCTGCCACTTACTCCCACTCCTGCCTGCCCCCCTCATGGTGCATGCATCCCTTGAAACCTACTTGTCCTGGTACTTATCCTCTCCCGCCTGTATCTCCAGCCCCTCCTAGTGTTGCTGTCCTTCACCTCCCAATGCTGCTTATCTTCCCCTTGCAGCTCTGGCCAAGGATGGGGAGGATGCAGCCCATGCTGCCTCCGGCCCCAGCCCAGCCATGCGGTGGTGCTGGCAGCAGAAGCTTTGGCCCTGGAGCAGGGGCCAGTGCTATCGCCACTGCTGCATAATTGAGCAGGGACCAGAGGTTGCGTATGCTGCATGTTCCTTGCCCCTGTCAGGTACGGAGCTGAGCTGGAGCCTGAGCTGCAAGGGGGAGCAAAGGCAGGCAGGAGAAGCAGAGGCTGCAGGGGGCAGGTGGTGGTGGGGATATCAGCTGAAGCTACAACTAGCCTCCCCCCCCCCACTTCCCTGCCCATACTTGAATCTAAGACAAGGGGCTTTTTTCTCCCTCTGTCTGTGCTGAACGGGTGGGGGGAGGAAATCCTTTTAGATGTGAGTAAATACAGTAATAAGGTAGGACTTTTTGGGTTCTAAAAGTTATCTAGAGAAGATTCTTATGTGCAAGTGAAGACCTGGTCCCACTGTAGGCAAAGGCATACCTCCCGCAGACCCAGAGCTGGGATTACACCTATTTTGGATTAATCTTTGAATATCAATTTTAATCTGTCTAATCCTCAATTTACCTTTATTTCAGCAACAGAAAGCATTCCTGCTTGAGTAAACTTTACTACAACTTCTTCCACCTTCTAGAAATGATGCTTTCAAGGTAGTCTGCATGTAAGGAAATTTGAAAATGTATCATGTAGACCTTCCAGTACTTTTTGCCATGGGTGTTTGTTATACTGGAGACCCAACTTGTCTCCCCCTTGTAAAGTTGTCTAGTGTTTTGTCTATGATTTTTTCCCCCCAATTGTCCAAACTTCTAGGTCAGCCACTCCTCTATATGGCTTTTGTGCAAATAACAATAAATCTGGAATTTCCCCCTGTTTAAATGGGAAGCTTTTAAAATGCTGACAATAGTGGAGGATTCCTGTTCCATAAATAGGGAAATTCCCTTTTTTCCTTCCTACTAAGCTTTCTGCTTGGATGGATATGGGTCCAATAAGTGACTTGTTCATGATTTGCACACGTACTGGGTTATACTTTACATCTATGAAGTTGTCAGATCCTTGTAGCTGTGCTACTTTTGAAGGCCTACGTTCAGTCCTGTGAACTTGATCGTGCCCTTAAGTGTAAACTTCCAGGCTTTCATTAGGGAACTCTGGAAGATGGTCATGTAGTCCTGGAACCTTAATTCCATGCTTCTGCAGTTGCTTTCAGGCAATCCTGCAGGGTGAATTCCATTTAATAACAATGAGCTCCTGTGAAAACAAAATACGACGTTCCTACAGATTAGGTAGAGTTTTGAAATTCCAGGACTGTAATTTCATGAACAGATGGAAGACATTCATGCCTAAATAGAAGAAATGATCAGCCCAGCAATATAATCTCATTGGGATGTTCTCTTATGGGTCTTCATAACTGTCTTCCTATGGGAAATCCCATTCCCAAATGATTGCCTATTTGCATTCCTAGCTACAGGAGTAAGAACTATAATCATACTTTGCAAATTCAAAATTTGCAGCACTTCCATAAAGTTTGTGGTAGCAATCTGGCTTGGTTGCAGCTGCCTAGGGCCAGGACCTATACCTATACTTATTTCAAATAGAGAGGGATCCTTCTGAGGTCTGAAATATGCTTCAATCATAAACAACTAGTTAAGTCGGCAGGAAGGCTCCAGGAGCTGCCATGCGTTATCTAAGCTTAGGCAGGGGAAAATGCTTCTGCACTTTACATATTACAATGCTGTTGTGGCTTGATGCAAAGAAAGCTAATTTAAAAATGGGAGGGAAATGCTGCCAGTATGTGATTTACTGTTTGGTTCAAGTTTTAATCAAATACAACTGTACTTTCTCTGTTTCCCTTTTGGGACAAGGACAAGAGAAAAGAAGCTCTAAACTGTATAAACTGGAGAGGCCATTTGCCTTATAGAAGATGCATGCAGCCCTAGTAAGCTTAATCATCTCCAGGGTTAAAGCTGCTGAGCAAGGTTTTTTTTAATTACAATTATAGGTGAGTGCCTAAATCCTGTTTTTAACTGGGCTATGCTGTACAGTCACCTGAACTCCTTACTTTTGACAGCAGGATTCAAGAAACATCATTTTTTAGTGTTTTCCTACTGGCAAACTATTGTGGCTCTCTACTCGGCAAGCTAACTATTTTAAACTCTGTTCTGAGACACCTAGCTCTGTGTTGCGCTGGGAGCCTCGGGCTCTCATTCAAGCTTCTAGGTCCCATGCCAGGGACAGATGCTTATGCATTTGGCTTCACAGAGCCCAGGTCCTCGATTTGATCTAGCCCTAAATGCCTGCTGTACTGTGATGATAGCACTATCAAATATTCTGACTTAGTGGTAGAATGCACCACATTTACTTGAACTGAAGATGAGATTTACCCCTATTACTAAGGGGGGCATGCAGCATCTTAGATTTAAGTACCAGCCTGGGGTAGCTTGTGTAGTGGGGTGCACCTTTGTGTGTGTGTGGGGTGGGGGGGAGGCGGGGAGCATGGCAAAGACTATGCAACAACTGCCTCACCCACCCTACTTTCAGTTCTTGCTCCAGCCCATCTGGGCCTAGAGCTACCACCATTGCTGACTCTTCTGGAGCCAGAGCTGCCGCCCAGAAGGTAAGTGGTATAGGGGAGGTGTGAGAGAGAGAAGAGGCAAGCAACAGGTGCGGGGGGGGGCAGGCACTGGAAGCGGCAGGGAGGACAAGCAGCAAGGGGGTGGGCACAGGTGAGCTGGGGGTCTGGCCCTTTATGCCCCTTCACTGCTTTGGGGTGGGAGGGCAAATTAGGACAACCCTCCAGTAATTAGATTCTATCTATGGAAGATTATAACAACTTCCTAATTTTCGATGTAGAGAATCTAATTATTAGAGAGTTGTCTTAAATTCAAAGTTGTCTTGGATTTGGGTACATATAGTAGTGTCTTATTCAAACTAAGGTGGGGCCAACTTTCTTTGCTTAAGGACTTTCTAGTGCAGATGAAGCCTGCAGTGAACAACTGTTTAAACAAGAGAAACCATTCTAGCTCCATGTTGTTCTCTTCTTTTTGTTCTCTAATCTGCTAGAAACAAAAACAAACCAGAAAATCCAAAGGGATTTGGCAGCTCCATTTCATTAGTTTCCCATAGCCTTTACCATGCATGATTTAAATGTTGTTTATCTAGTGTCACAAAATGCTGCTTTCCAAACATAAAGGGAGACGTGCCTTTTCCACTACAGTGTGTATAGCTGCCCACAAGCCTTTTCACAATAACATAAAGGGGCAACCCAAAAAAAGGTCTGGGGCGAATATAACATTATAGGCTGGAGTCAGATGAGGACTGGGCACCTACAAGCTTTGCTAGGGTCTGAGCCCAACACTGGAGCACTCTGGCGATCACTATGGCCCACCATGCTGTCTAGCTCTAGAGCAGGCATAATGTTTCTCTTGGCAAAATCTCCAACACACTTCAGTTTATCCTTCTGGGCATGGGCACAGCCATCTCAATCCTGACAAAATTGACAAGCTTAGCATCT